TATGGAAACCAAAAGGAAGATCCTAAGCTGAGCAAACCGATTATCCCTCCTACCTTTCGGTCCCCAAGTTTCGCCAGTCCCCAGTCTGGGCCCAATTGTTTCCCAATCTGAGGCTGTCTTGCAAAATGTGCTCCGCGAAAGCATCCCCAGACTCACAGTGACCCGGCCCCGGCGTCGCCTTGCAGGCCCTGGCGCTTTAAGCAAGGGGACTGTGCTTAGATATGAGCTGTGGACATGATGAAGAACAAGGAGCAAGCACGCACGCACCCACCCACACACACACACGCACTGCATGAACTGCTGAACCACCTGCGTCGTCAGAACCCTCAATCTGAAATGTTACTCTTTGGGCGACAATGCGCGACATCACCATCCAAATACGTGTGGGAGCTTGCAAAGATGCGACCACCATCGACCTACCTTGACGGCTCGGTAAACTCTCTTCGGCCTCAGCCGCGCTGCCAAATGTGCCAGCGCTGTCTCGCAAGCAGACCTCGCCAAAGAACGTGATTTGCTGATTGCCTACGGCGCCTTAAGGTAGAGAGAGATGGCCCCAAAAAAAGGCCCAGGTTTGACTCACTCTTGGTGGGAGTCCTTGAAATCCCCTGAGACATCCGTCGGGGGCTCAAGCACTCAAATCCCTTTCAATGCGACTTTGTATTTTGCAAGCAGTTCCTTTCGGGCAGCGAACTCCTTTTAATTGATACATCAACGTCTTCAGTCAATCAGGTCCTTGTGATATGTCATATGTTTGCTCCCCAGATCAACATGGAGCCCCAGGGAGCCGTCAGTCTTAGAACAAACTCCATTCAGGCGATTCCCCTCTTGAGTTTCGAGTCAGGTTTCCAGCGTATAGAGCGGTTGTTGCCCTTGGCTCGGCGTAAATCTGGCGTCTGCTCATCGTACGTCGTCGTAGAAGTTGTTCGCCAAGGGGTCCTTCGGAAATGTGGCAAGTTGAGCCCGCTGCTCGAATTATTGGCGCTCGATCACCTCGTCTGGACGAAGCGTCGGGCAGGCGCCCGTCTTTCCGTCTGTCAAGCGCCCCAGCAAGAAAAGCTCGTGTGCGGCAGCAACGTCCGCAGAGCTAATGTCCATCGTGCCTTGCGGCGGTGCCGGACAGCCGCACAGCCCTCCCGCTTCCGAGCTTCTCATTCCACTGGCTGCTCGTCTGCTCACCCTGAGATGTCCTACGCCTCACAACCAGGCTTCACGGCGAAAGCTGAAGAACTTAGAGTTTTGGAGCCAATTTAACCTGGTGATTCCCAACCCGCCTACCCCACTCAAAGGGGCTTGAAAAGTGGTGCCCAAACAGTACCCCTTTAAGATGGCACAGGCCTCTTGTGGGCTACCTACCCCAGAGGCAAGCCGGCGAAGATACAGCGCGAGCACTGTGTAAGAAATCATTGTGCAAGAAATTGAGGGGCTGAACTTGCCGAGTAAAGAAATTAAGAGGCTGCCCGGAAACGTTTGCTAAGAAATTCAGCCCAGCCTATTTCCCACACAGCGCTCGAGCTCCAACCCCTTCTTCTCTTTAACCAACCAACCTCTAATAAAAAAAAAGTCCTCTCAGCCGCACCAAAACGTCGCAAATGCTAATTTTAAAATAGCCAACGCTAAGTCAATACATGTCAATACTAAACTCCTGAGACCACACATGTTTTCCACCAAGCTCCCACAATGTGCTTATCAGGCCCCCCCCCCCCTCCATAATGTGTTGAAACAAGAAGGTTCCAAGCTATGTGTCCAACAAACCAAGCCCCTCATCCTAAGCATCTCAAGCTGGCTGACCCCCCAGCCAAGAATCTTCCCAAAACAAAAAGGGCATCTCCCCAAACAGGTCTTCTCCCCAAACAGGTCTTATTCCTAGGGTCCACATTGTTTTCATTATACTGGGGCCTGCGCAGCAAACACGCTCACGCAAGCACACTCAAAAGAGCTGTCCTCCTCAAGCCAAAAATCACCACCCCAAAACAAGTTTACTATCAGAGTCTGTGCGCCAACCCCAAACATGCCAAGAATTGTCCAAGGGGAATGTCCCTTTCAAAGTTCTTAAGAATGTGAGCATTTTCTCCTGCAAACCAAAGGGACCCACAATGGATCCACTTTCCAATGCAAGTCCAATACTAACCAGCAAGCCATCAACTAGATCTAAAGCAAAAACCGATGACCCCTTTCACTCCCTCCGATGTTGTTTTTTCAAATGGGGGGGGAGGAACGGATTTTTTCGAGAGAGAGGATTAGGCGAAATGTCTCCGCAATGCTTTCGGGAATAATCTCCGCCTCCCAAATCAACCTGGCCCATCTGCCCTCATCGCCCAAAACAATTGCCCCAAAGCAATTGCTGCCACAGCTAGCCAAAAACAAAAAAAGGAAAGCGAACAAGTGGAGCTTGCTTCGAACAAGTGATGGTCTGAGAAGGTTTTATGAGGCGCCCCGCATCAGCGCCCACGCCCCAAAATCATCTATCCCATCTGCCATCTGCCCTCTCCAAAAATTGGTGCCAGGATTGCTAACGTCAGCGCCAGCCTCCCGAGAAAAATGGGAACTCAGATCCCAGAATGCCAAATCAACTCGGACTGCGTTGTCAACTCGGTAGACACAAGGGGCTGCATGCAGTTGACATAATGTGTTTGTCTACAGCTGGTGATTTTTGACCAGCAGTTGCAGCTGCCCTCAAAAATCAGACATCGGCCCAACAGAAGCTCAACATCGACGTCAGCCGAGGGGCATCAAGCAGGCCGGAATGTCCCCGAAGATGGCCTGTCAAAAGGAAAACACAGAAAACACAGCATGCAAGGCATGGCCAAAACTCAACATGTCTCTCTCCCAATCCACCGTTCCCTTCAAACAAGTGCTTGCCAAATTTTACAAAATGAATGTTGACTTCTGTGACAAAGTCACCACCACGGGATGTGCCGGGCTCATGAGTTTAACGTCTGAGGCAAGGCCCAGCCTGAGATGACGGGCATGAACACTTGCACCGCGCTCGCTGCGTGGCGTACACAGTTGTGAGCGAAGCTCGCAACTTCTTTGAGCAAGATTGGCATGATTGTTTTGCTGGAGCTTGACAGTATCATCAAGCATCAAGATGATTCAAACGCTCACTTGCTGGGAGAAGATAGGTGCTGCAGTGCTGCGTCTCTGTGCCAAGTACAGCTGGGGCGCAAGCCGGTCGGCCACAGGAGTAATAGCGGAGAATTCGACGGCCACTTGCCCGGACATCTCACTGAAATGCACGTATCACCAACTAACTTCGCCCCCTATCAATCCTAAATGCAACAAATCCCCTCACACCAGCGATGCCCTCCCCTTTGCGCTCCAAAAAGGCGTGGCCCAAACACCATTGGTCTATGTAGCTGAAGGCTGAAGCAATCACAAATAATCAATCTTTGGCAGCCCCGCGGAAGCTGGTCAAAGGGTTTGGGCTGTCTTGGCTTGCAAGAGGTATCTCAAGGGTATGTCCAAAACAAGGTCCATCCCAAATCTACCTAATCATACCTGATCTGTTCAGACTGCTTATGTTGAAGCCCCCGGGAATTTTATTTTATAGACCTTACCCACCCCCTCAATTTTATTTTTAAGGTAGGGGGGATCACCAGACATGCACACACACACAACACACACACACACCACACCACACCACACCACACCACAACACAACACAACACAACACAACACAACACAACACCACACCACACCACACCACACCACACCACACCACACCACACCACACCACACTCACACACACACACACTCACACACACACTCACACACACACACACTCACACACACACACTCACACACTTTCACACTCTCTTACACTCTCTCACACTCTCAAACTCTCACACTCTCACCATCTCACACTCTCACACTCTCACACTCTCACCATCTCACACTCTCACATTCTCACACTCTCACACTCTCACACTCTCACATTCTCACACTCTCACACACTCACACACTCACACACTCACGCTCACACACACTGACACACTCACACACTCTCGCTCACACACACTGACACACTCACACATGGACACAGACACACAGACGAAGGGACACAGGGACACACAGACACACAGACACACACACACACACACACACACACACACACACACACACACACACACACCCACCCACCCACCCACCCACACGCACGCACGCACACGCACACGCACACGCACACGCGCACGCGCACGCGCACGCGCACGCGCACGCGCACGCGCACGCGCACGCGCACGCGCACGCGCACACACGCACACGCACACACGCACACACGCACACACGCACACACGCACACACGCACACACGCGCACACGCACACACGCACACACGCACACACGCACACACGCACACACGCACACACGCACACACGCACACACGCACACACGCACACACGCACACACGCACACACGCACACGCACCCACACACACACACACACCCACCCACCCACGCACGCACGCACGCACGCACACACGCACGCACGCACGCACGCACGCACGCACACACACACACACACACGTGCAGAAAGATCCGCACGCACACACACACACATACACTTACTTACACCAGACTATGTCACCATATGAGAATCGATCAGAACTACTTGTAGTGATTCTATGTGCTTGTATGCGTACATAGATGGTAACCTTATCGTGTCCAAGCACAAACACCCCCACACACACACACACACACACAGATCCTCAAAGGACTCTGCTCCAGCAAAACAGGCAGTTCCTTGTTGGTCCTCTCTTGTGACGGGCGATTTGCCAAAGTCCATCGATGGCAGTCATGACTATGCCCCCACACCGAAGCCAATTCACTGATTCACAAGCAGCCAGTGACCCGCTCCAAAAGCTGGTCTTGCAAATTACACTCCCTCAGACCAACATGGAAGCTTTCAAAAGGCCGCTGTAAATGGAACCAAGTCTTCCATCTCGGTCCGTTCGGGAGCTTCCATGGAATCGTCTGGGGGAGGGTCTGTGACGTCCCGGCTGAGGTGACTGGCCGCTGCCAGTGGCAGAGACTTCCCAGGTGCTGCGCAGTGGGCCGCTGGAACGTCTTGTGCCAAGTGGCTGGCAGAAGTGCACTGTACCACGGCGGAGGGACCACAGGGGCGTGGCTCGATTTGTTTTGGGGCGGATCCGAAGAGTTGACGACTGGCTTGGTGCAAAACAAGCCAGCTGGGGAGTAAAGGCTCCAAACTGAGCTACAGCAAGCACAGCCACAAGCAGGCAAACAAAACAACAAAGTACAGCAAACAAGAAGGGAAATAAAAGGTGGGAGGAGGAGGAGGGGAAAGGCTGAAATGCACGATTCCCTAGCAAGAAAGCAAAGACAAACAAAACAGATAGCACAAGAAGAGCACACAAAACCATGATATTAACTATTTGTTGATTATTACTGGCTTTATATTACTTGCTTCAATCAGTTTACTATGCCACAATTTGGTTTACACAAGACTGGCTGATTGATTGGATTTGATGGGATGACATTGGCATTGGCATTTGGACTTGGATTTGGATTTGGTTGGTTCGTCCATTGATTTGATGGATTGATTGGTCGCTGGATGGAGCAGCTTTATTGATTAATCGACAGACTGCCGAGCAGATTGACTTATCGCTGTGGTTGTTGCTGCCGGAGCTGCTGCACGCTTTGGCTGAAGCCTTTCCAATTTCACGATTTTATCAAGAGCCTAGACCCCCTTTGCTTGTGCACTGCAAACAGCTTCAACTGAGCCACCTGAATCTGTTTTGATTGAGATGAAAAACAAAAGCAAACTGTTGCGGCCTGCCCTCCAGATTCGTATGACTGTGTTTGCAGTTCGAGTTGAGATGGAGCGTGCACGCGGAGACACACACACACACCACACACACACACACACATACACACACGGACATACACATACCCACCCACCCTCCCTCCCTCCCTCCCTCCCTCTCTCTCTCTCTCTCCCTCCCTCCCACCCACCCACCCACCCACCCACCCTCCCACCCACCCACCCACCCACCCACCCACCCACCCACCCACCCACCCACCCACCCACCCACCCACCGACCACCCACCCACCCACCCACCCACCCACCCACCCACCCACCCACCCACCCACCCACCCACCCACCCACCCACCCACCCACCCACCCACCCACCCACCCACCCACCCACCCACCCACCCACCCACCCACCCACCCACCCACCCACCCACCCACCCACCCACCCACCCCCCCCACACACGCACAAACGTACAAACGCCACACACCTTGATCGCATCGTAACTTGAGGACAAGCCGACTGCCGCCATTTTGGGCTTCAGCCTTTTACTAAATTTTCAGAGTGCCTTTTGTGCCCAGCATGTCCGTAAAGCCGATCCGTGAGCATGCGGGGAAGAGCCTGCTGGAGAAGTTGCTGCCCGAGGTGTCCGGGGGCAAGCACAAGATGGGGTGCGCGGGTGTTTTGGTGACTCCTGCGGTCTTGGATCCCACCAGCGGCCAGACTTGGGACAAGATCTTGCAGGAGGGCTTCTCAGGTCCCCCTTCCCGAGAATCTATGAACCCCTTCTAAGAGGCTCTAAGATGCCCATGGGAGGGAGCCGAGTTAGGAGAACCCCTGGCTGAAGACCACCAACCTGGTGGCCAAGCCGGATCAGCTGATCAAGCGCCGCGGCAAGGCGGGCTTGATTGCTGTCAACAAGACCTTCGATGAGGCGGGGGAGGTTCAACCGGTTTTTACATACCTGTCGCGGGTGATGTGAGATATTCTGGCCGGTGCGAGAGATGCAGAAAATAAGAAATGGAATGACCCGTATAATCCCATCCAACTGGTGGTGTCCTTTATTCGGGAATCCCCTTCCGGTTCACTCTCGCATTCCCTACTGAGTACCAGCAAATAGTTGTTTTTGCGGGACATCGGAAAATCTGCCGCGCAGCCTGCGAGGCCAAGCAGTGGGTCATGGATCGCATGTGCAAGGAGCAGAAGGTGGAGCACGTGACCGGGCAGCTGACGCACTTCCTCATCGAGCCCTTTGTTCCCCACAAACAGGAGCAGGAGCAGCTCAGTTGCAAGACCAAAGCGAAGTGACCGTCAGTCACATTTTTTTGGGCTAAACAGTTTTTTGGTCAAAAAGACTCAGGTAACTTTTAGGTGGTGGATTGGATTGGTTTGGGACTTGAACCCGCTTTTGGAGAGGGTAAATGGGAAACCCCTCCTGAGCCACCAAACCACCAATTAGAGGGAAGCTGACCGTTGCCCAAAGCGAAGTGACTTGTCAACTTTTGGCTCAACCCTTTTTGGTTTCCACTTTGAGTCATGGCCTCAAAAGGTGATATCACGCTTCTTTTTCCAGGTCCTGAACTGTGCAACTGACGCAACTGAGGCACTACATCTGCATGCTGTCCCACCGCTACCACGACGAGATCCTCTTCTACCACGAGGGCGGCGTGGACGTGGGCGACGTGGACGCCAAGGCCGAGAAGTTGGAGTTGGCGACGGGCGAGGCCATGACCGAGGCATTGGTCACTGAGAAGCTGCTGAGCAAGTTGCCTGCGGCCAAGAAGGCAAACATGGCGTCCTTCATCTGCAGCCTCTACAAGTTCTACGGGGACCTGCACTTCGCATACCTGGAGATCAATCCATTGGTGACTCACTTGTTCAGTGGCACCAATTATTTTTCCTTTATTTTGTTTGGTGGCAGCCCCAAAAAGGGTTCCCCTTTTTTCCAGGGTCGCTGAACAACTGAGGTGATGCTGGACGACAACACGGTGATCCCTCTGGACATGGCCGCCAAGATCGATGAGACGGCCAACTTCCTGGTGGCCCAGAAGTGGGGTGAGCTCGACTGGCCCCCTCCCTTCGGGCGCGCGGCCTATCCGGAGGAGGCCCTGATCCACGAGATGGACGGCAGGACGGGGGCCTCCTTGAAGCTGACGATCTTGAACGAGAAGGGCCGAGTTTGGACCATGGTGGCCGGAGGTGGGCGGGTGTCTTCCGGGACCAGGACTCGGAGCCCCATTGTAAAATGGGTGGGAGTCTTTCTGTTTTTCCCCCTTTGGCCAAGTAACATGGAAGCTGACGGGGGGGTCCTGGAAGACAATGTTCCTGTTAAAGGGGCTCCTGTCAGGTTCCATGTGAATTGGTGGGAGGGTAAAGCCCTCCAACAAAGGGGGGTTTTCCCCGCAGAAAAGAAAGAGTCCCATACCGCAGGTGGGGCCTCGGTGGTGTATGCGGACACGGTGGCGGACTACGGCATGGGACATGAGCTGGCCAACTACGGTGAGTACTCTGGAGCACCCTCCACTGAGGAGACCTTTGTCTATGCCAAGACCTTGCTGTCCCTGATGATGAAGTACAAGCACCCGGAGGGCAAGTTCCTCATCATCGGCGGCGGCATCGCCAACTTCACAGATGTGGCCGCCACCTTCACCGGCCTCATCAAGGCCCTGCAGGAGTACGCGGATGACATCAAGGCGCTGGGCTGTTCAATCCGCAAGATCCGGGGTTTGAATCCAGCAACTGTTTCACGAAGCCCTCCACTCAACTCCTGAACTGCAGAGCAAGCTTCTGGGCAGTCCCCTCTGTAGTGGTTTTTGAATCGGGCTGGAAAAAACATTGTTGGCCAAGCCTTCAACGAACCAGCTGGGATCGTGGCAATCCCCTTGGTGGGTGGCTTTTCCAATAGGGGCTGGACACTCGGATTGGAATCCAAGCAATGCAGGGTTGTTGGTGGGACACATTTGACATTTTTCCTTGTTGTGGTTTAGCGGTTGAAATCCAACCACTTCACTGCTAAAGTTCAACTTGTTGCTCCCCCTAGTGGTTGAAATCCAACCACTCAACCGCTAAAATCTTATGTTTTTCTTGCTCCCCAAATTCCCGGCGTCCGTCTCCGCTGCACCGAAGGAGCACAACATCAAGATCCTGATCCGCCGTGCGGGGCCCAACTACCTGGAGGGCCTGCGCAAGGTGAAGGCGGCCAGCGACAAGCTGGGCCTGGGCATCAAGGTGGGGATCAGCTGTGGGGGGTGCCCTGTGGCCCCAGTGGTCCCCCCCAGTGGTGCCCAATAAGCCCTTTTTTTTGGGGGAGGGTTCCAATAAACCACTTTTTTTCGGAGGGTTGCCCTGCTAACATTGACTACAGCAAGAAGTGGGTAAGCATGACCAGACCATGGGTGGGGGGAAATCACTCAAAAGATGGGGAAACCACTCGAAAGATGCCCAAAAGAGCCACTCAAAAGATTAGGTGGGTCAGGTGGGTTGGGGGAAACTGCTCAAAAGATAAAAGACCCACTCAACAGATTAGATGGGTTGGGTGCACATGGCTGTGGTGGTCAAAGCACGTTTTGGGATCCGACATATTGGTTGGTAGGTGAATTCACCACCCATGTTAGAACCTATTTTAGTGGGGATTGGGACCCCAGCCCTTTTCTACCCTTTTCTGGTTGGGAGGGGTTCCCCTACTAAAACAGACTACAGGGAAAAGTTGGTACCAACTTATTCTAAGCTCTCAAATCTGGACAGCCTAGAAGCATGACCAGACCATGGGGTGGGCGGAAACCACTGAAAAGATGACCAAAGACCCACTCAAACGATTAGGTGGGTTGTGTGGGTTGGGGGGAGCCACTCAAATCAATGTGATTTGATCTTTCAACCACATAGAAAAGGCTTGCATTTCAAACGGAAATCTGGATCAACCTGCCAGGTCTATGGCCCTGAGACCCACATCACGGCCATCATCCCCATGGCCCTGGGCCTCATCAAAGATCTGCCGGAGCCCGACCTGTCGGCGCCCTGCGGGCCGCCGGTACGGAAGCTCACGCCAGTGGACACACCTTACGTTGTTTTTCCTTGGCTCTCCAAAAAGTCTTTTTGGTGGCCCAAAAAAGTGTAGACTTTTTTTTGGGCTGGTCACTGAGTCACTGGCCAAGTGAGGAAGATGATTGACCTGAAGGGCAAGAAGCCCACGCCCAAGGGCCACCCAGCGGCCCCTGCAGGCACCAAGCACACCTTGGTCACCGCCACGCCGGACACCACCTGCATCGTCTACGGCATGCAAAACCGGGCGGTGCAGGGCATGCTGGACTTCGACTACATGTGCAACTTGCTTTGATACTAGTAGGGTTCCTCAGTGGTGAGCCCCAAACTGAGCCATACAACTGGTTTCTGGTTAAGATTGGAATGAGGGAATGACCGTTGATTTTGTTTTTGAAAGTGAGGCATCCAACTACCAATCTCCTTGGTCAAACGGTTCATCCCTTCAACAGGGCTCCTTGCATTTTCTCCCCTTGGCGAAACAGATGTCACCTTTTGGGCCAAATTCAAGTCGAGCTTCTTTACCGGGGAAATTTCTCGGGAGCCCCGTCTTTTTTGGAAAAACGCACTCTTTTTTAACGGGGAGCTCTTCTTTACCCGGAACAAAAAGCGGCCGCGGCCCGCGGCATGGCAGCCCACGCTTCTTTTTTGTGAGGCAAGCGGAAGCAGCCCTCGGTGGAGGCGATGATCTTCCCCTTCTCCGGGAACCACTACGTGAAGTTCTACTGGGGCACTGAGGCGCGCGCGCGAGACTTGTCCGAGGTTTCCGGGGAAAATCCGCAGATCCAAAAATTCCGAGTCCGGAGAAAAAAGCACGGAATTGGCCCCAGGTGGGCATGGGATGGCGAATTTTTGGCCCCTGGAATTTGGAAAATTGGGGGAGGGGGGGGGGGGGTGGGGGGGGTGACCCCTTAAGGTGGGGAGAGAGTTTCTGGCTTTCGCCCCCTGACAAAAGGCATGGAAGTGGGGCAGGGGGGTTGACCCCTTCAAGGTGGCTCAGTTGTCCAAAGCCGAGCTTTTGACCTTTGGGTTTTCCCATTTTGGTCCATTTTTCGTGGAGGTGCCAAAGGTTTCACCTTTCAGTTCTGGGTCCTTTGGGCCACTGAGGTGGGAATGGGAGATTTTGAGTAGCACCTGGGGCCCGAGAAGGGGGGTGGTAAACAGAACAGTGCTTATACAATTCATGCTTGCAGTTCATTACACTGGGCTCCTTAAAAGATGTTGCAACCAATTGAAGCATGTGTTTTTTGTTTGCACCAGAATAAAGGGACACCACCATTGACGAGGCAATGTTCAGGTGTATAATGTAAGGATCCCTGTTACATTGGCATTACACTGCAGTAGTTGCATGACTTTGCGGTTGCTTTTGATGAAGTGCATCCACAAGGGGGAGAAGACAATGTCACACATCTCATAGAAGGGTAGCTCTGGGTCGTCCAGAAAGGCGGCCAGGTACCAGGTACATTCCGCTGTAAGTACACGCAACGTGGACGACGTTTGTCGAGTTCTCCTTTTTTGTGTTTGTTGCAAGCCCCAAAAGAGGGCATCCAAACTGTTTGGAGATACTCAGTTCAATGTCCAGACACTCTGAGGAGGGGGGTTCTCAAAATAGTGGCCCCCTCAAAGTGGTGAGTTTCCTTTGGCTTCCTTTGGTTTCATTTCGTTTCATTTCGTTTCCCCTGCAAACCCCAAAAACCAACCAAGACACAGGATGCTCCCATTTTTGTTTGAGAGAAGAACCCCTGCAATTCCCAAAAACAAACCCAAAGCACTGGATGTTCCCATTTTTTGAGAGAAGAACCAGTTCATTTCGTTTCCCCTGCAAACCCCAAACCAAACCTCTGGATCTTCCCAATTTTATTTGGAGAAGAGCCAGGAGATCCTGATGCCGGTCTACACCACCACCAAGGAGGCGGTGCAGAAGCATCCCAAGACCTCGGTCTTCGTGAACTTCGCCTCCTTCCGCTCGGTGCACGAGACCACCATGGAGGCCATGAACCACGGCAACCTGAAGACGCCCAGCCGGCAGGGCTTAGCCGGGCGGCAGGGCTTGGGACCTGTGGAAGTTGTCGTGTGTCTTCCATTTGCTGAAATGAATATGTTATATTTTCCCCTGGTGGTTTTAAGGGGGTCTATCACTACTGGAAATAGGTTTCTTTTTCCAGGGGCGTAAGCAAATGGCAGTTGTGGGTGGGGCTGTGGAGCTGTTTTTGGGAGTTGATGTGGGTCTGTCCGTTTTTTTTTTTAGGGAAGCCCTTTTTGGTTGGTTCTAAGAGGAACATGAGAGACAAACACAATGTTTGGGCCACTAACACAAAGAGACACCCAGATGTATTTTTGGGGTGGTCCACTGCTGGTGGACATGCAACCCAGAAACCCTCCACGTGAGGAGTCCTCTTGGGAGTTGCTTTTTGGGATTTCATGTTAAAGGGGAGTAATTCCTACTGAGGGAACCGTGACCACAGCCCGCATCCGGAGTTCTGATCGTTGGTGGGTTTGGGGGTTCCGTGGGGTGGTTGTGTTTCAAAGATGGGGTCGCGATGAAGCAATGGCTGCAGTGAGGACGTTTGGGACTTTCGCGGTTTTTTGTGTTTCAAAGATGGGGTCGCTATGGCATGCTACGGCTGCTTATTGAGGACGGTGGCCATCATTGCTGAGGGTGTGCCGGAGCAGCAAACCAGGGACATCATCAAAGTTGCGGAGAAGAAGGGCGTGGGCATCATTGGCCCGGCGACCGTGGGAGGTACAAGGGTGCTTCCGAGCGGTTTCTTCGATTGGTTCCGGACGGTTTCAACCACTTCTGGTTCATCCCAAGCCTCTGATTCAACAACCCTGAGGTATCAAGCCCGGGTGCCTGCGCATTGGCAACACCGGTGGGATGTTGGATAACATCGTGATGTCCCGGTTGTACCGCCCGGGTTCGGTGGCCTACGTCTCCAAGTCTGGAGGCATGTCCAATGAGCTCAACAACATCGTGGCACGCAACAGCGACGGCGTCTATGAGGGCGTGGCCATTGGCGGCGACCGCTACCCTGGCAGCCGATTCCTCGACCACTTCCTGCGATACCAGGATGACCCCAAGGCTATGCTTGAAGTTGAACCACTGTGATTTGTGTTGTTGTTGCTGCTGTTTCTTTTTTCCCCGAGCCTGTATCTATGATACCAGAGGGAATCCCTTGAAAGTCATAAAGTCGTACTGTGGATGGAAGAAATCCGTTTCGAACCACCTAAGAAAGCCTAGAATGTTGATTCCCTTGCAAATACCCACAAATAATGGTTTCAACCATTGTTTCCAAGTGGTGCGAATCGGATTTCGTCCATGCACAGTGACGTGAATCCCACTGTCCGAGGGTCCGGGCTCCAGGCCAAGATGCTGCTGCTCCTGGGCGAGGTGGGCGGCACCGATGAGTACGACCTCATTGAGGCGAAGAAGAAGGGCCGCATCACCAAGCCCGTGGTGGCCTGGTGCGTGGGCACTTGTGCCTCCTGCTTCACCACCGAGGTGGGCGTCCCCCAAAAACATTGGAAAAATGGTGCTTGGTGCCCCTTGTTGGTTGGGATCCAAAGGGACACCAACAGGAAACCGAAGCCCAGTTTTGGTAGAAGCCGAACTTCCCGCAGGTGTTTGGAGAAATCGATGGCGCTGAACGGATGGCATTCCAACCCATCTAAACCACTGGAGCAAACGGATGGCAGAAAGCCAATCTACACCACTGGAGTAAACGGATGGCAGAAAGCCAATCTAAACCAGCTTAGCTCATATGCATTTTTGAGTCCATCGATTTCTTGCCAAAACCCATCAACAGGACACCAATCACAGACCCACGGCTCTGGATCTTGGGATCCACATCTGAGGTGCAGTTCGGGCACGCGGGCGCGCAGGCGCGAGGGGACATGGAGACCGCGGCGGCCAAGAACAAGGCCATGCAGGAGGCCGGGTTCCACGTGCCGGAGTCCTTCGACAAGCTGCCCGATATGGTCAACCAGGCGGGTTTTTTAGGGCGGCCGAAAAAAAGGGAGAAATTGGGGGGGACCCATATAATACATAGTGTAAATTTGGACCCCCCCCCCAAAAGAAGAAGATGGGTCTCGGTGTCCTTTGAATTTCCCTTAAAACCGGTATACCCTCACAAGGGTACCTCACAAAATGGAACCCGAGACGCTGTGGTTTCCGCTGAATGTCTCTTTAACCCCCCCCCCAAAAAAAAACACGATAATTTCAAGAATGTCCAAAGATATCTGGCAAACAATGAACGATAATCTTTGCAAAAAGCATACTACAAGTAAACAATGAACGATAAACTTTGCAAAAAGCATACTACAAATAAACAAACTCAGTAAATATTCTACAACCAAAAATCCCCGCCAGTTTTGCCCTCCAACAAGTCTTGCCCTCCAAAAAGCTCCAAAGTTAAACCCAGCTTTTGCCCTCCAAAAACCGGCCAGGTGTACACCCAGCTGGTGATGGACGGCGAGATCGTCGAGACCCCGGAGGGCGAGACCCCGCAGGTGCCCATGGACTACACCTGGGCCAAGAAGCTGGGCATGATCCGGAAGCCTGCGACTTGAATTTGAACCAACACCTTTGCTGGCCTTTGCTGGTAAATGTTTCTTTCTGAGTTCATGAACTTCAAACTTTTTTTGGGAGGAACCATATTTTAGTGGTATAAAGTTTGGACTTTTTCTGGGCCATCTCTACAAGTGTGCAATGGCTATTTGGAAATGGATCCTTGGTAATGGCAATGATCCAAACCTCTTCAAGGATCAAAACCTGTTTGGTAAACCTCTTCAAGTTTGAGGTTCAAAAAATAAAAGGACGCTGCCCCCACTTCTCTGGTTGCAAAAGGGTAAACTTTATGGCGATTTGGAAATGGATCTTTGGACTTTAGCTGTTTAGAACGTAAAAGCGTAAAACTCCTTGAAAGGAGTTAACGCCTTTTCTTTCTTTCCATTCGGAAACGGATATGTCTTTGGGCTTTACCTGTCTGTTTGAAACAGGAGAGCTGGATGTCTCAAAGGACCCAAAAAAAGTCATTCACTTTTTGCAGAGGGGTCAACAGCGACCAAATTGTGCACCTTTTACTGTAGCACCTGGCTTACTAAACTTTACCTAGTACTTGAGGAGCGAATCCCAAATGACAACTTGGTACTCGTCCTTTGTTTGCACCTGGGTACCTAAAAGATACAACTTTCCTTCCAAAAATACTGCAAAGGCTTTTTCAAGACGTCCCTAAAAGATGACTCCAAAAACGCCCCCATTCTTGAAAAAGGCTAGTGCGCCGCCGCTTCCATGCTTGTTGGCCAAAAAGGTAGTTTCCCCTGTTTGGTCCGTTCTCAGTCACCCCAAGAGGTGTTTTCAGCTTCAAGTTCGTCCTTGAGCTGAGGCCAACTTCATCTCCTCCATCTCAGATGACCGTGGTGAGGAGCTGACCTACTGCGGCATGTCCATCTCCGATGTCTTCACCAAGGACATTGGCATCGGCGGCGTGCTGTCCTTGCTCTGGTTCAGACGCCAGCTGCCCGAAGCTCGCTTGCAACGAATCCACTTCAAACTTCTCACCATTTGAGGGTGTTTTCCTCCCATTTTGCTCGAATTGTCTAGGGGCATTGTGGATGGCCAAAATCCGATTCGCACCACTTGGAAACCATGGCAAACCATTGTTTTTTGGTATCTACAGGGGAATCATCATTCTAGGGTTTCTTAGGCGGTGCGAAATAGATTGCGCCCATCCACAGCATGAAAAGGTGAATCCAGCGCCTTTGGGCAACTGAGGAGTACTGCACCAAGTTCATCGAGATGATCTTGATGGTCACTGCAGACCACGGTCCGGCTGTGAGCGGGGCTCACAACACCATCGTCACCGCCCGCGCGGGCAAGGACTTGGTGTCCTCCCTTTGCAGCGGACTGCTGACCATCGGCCCTCGCTTCGGGGGAGCCTTGGATGATGCCGCCAAGATGTTTGCGGACGCGCAAAGCAGCGGCGTAGCGCCCAAGGAGTGGATCGACAAGATGAAGAAGAGCAACCAGCTGATCATGGGCATCGGCCACAGGACTGAGGTCATTTTGGCCATTTCTGGGGTGCTCAATGTCAAAAACTAGGGCTTTCACCAAGCACCTGTTGGATTTTGGCACGGCAGGATCAAGTCCTTGGCCAACCCGGACCAGCGGGTGGAGATCATCAAAGGCTTCGCCAAGAAGAACTTCAAGTCCACGCCGGTGCTGGACTATGCCCTGGCGGTGGAGCAGATCACCACCAAGAAGAGGGCCAACCTCATCCTCAACGTGGACGGCTGCATCGCCGTGTCCTTCGTGGCTTAGCTCTCTCTGCAAAGAGAGAGAGAGAGAGAGAGACCCCGAAGCGGGAAGCAAGCGACCGGTCGCCGGTCGACTTGCGATGTTGCGCAAATAGGTTTGGCCCTTTGGTCTCAAAGGGTTCGACCTTTTATTTCGGTCCGAACTGGGCAACTGACCATTTCTAGTGGTGTCAGAAACTGGAAGTTTCCCCTTAACCTAGCACTTGTTGGGTTTTAACGAAGCTAAAAGGAACACCCCGCCAGAAATGGGGGTCCGATTCCTAAAAGACGAGCCACTGGCAGAATGGGACCCTGTCAGATACGGCGTGTTTTTTTTTAGGGGACCCCCGACCCCCAAAATGGTGGGTTGCCTTTTGGCTTCCCTTTAACACCCGCACAAGAAAGGGTACCTCAAGGATCATGCAATCCCCAAAGGGGGTTCCCTAAATCTCCCTAAGGAACCCTAGCGTGGCTCTCAACTACCCCCCAACGCTACCTACCTTCCGGATGGGATTTGAGGTGGACATGATTCATCCTTGAACATCATCCTTTACCAACTGGTTCAGAGGACAAAGTCACATGTACCAACTAAAGAGGACCCCAAAAAATGGGCTCGGCTTTCCTTTCGGTGTCCCTTTTTCTACCCACCCAAAAAGGTTTCGATTCAAAGGAAAAAAGGCACGAGCCACCTCTGGTCCTATGAGCTGAGGTGGTAGGTTTGGGAATGAACCGGAAGGGGATTCCCTTAAAGAAAACCATAGGGGATGGGTTATAGAGGTCACTCCATGTCTCATTCCCTGCCTATCGAACCAGCAAGTTTCCTTTAACATCATCCTTTCCCAAATGGTGCAGAGGAAAAAGTCAGATGTGCCCATGGAGCACCTGAAACTTGCAAAGGCTGATGTTGATACGGTGTGCTCAGGGTTGGTTTGCCAGCTGGTGCTCAGTAGGGAATGAACCTTTGTGGGATTCTCAAGGAACCCATGAAGGATTATAGGAATCATTTCCTTTCTCATTCCCTGCAAGAGCAGCTTGTACTTCAACGGAATTGGTGCCTTGTGGGGGGAGTTGAAAGGCTCCGCGATACACGGGCTGAGGTTTCCCTCCAAAGGAAACCCATGGGAGATAAGTTAGAGTCATGCCTTGCCCATCGATGGATCCAGTGGAACCAACCCATGGGCTGGAACCTGGGGAAACCATAGGTGGGTACAGGTCATTCCATGTCTCATTCCCTGCCTACAGTACCCAGAGGTAAGGATTCTGAAGGTTACCTCTTGTAGTGGTAACTGGAAGAGGCGGGATTGAACTGCGGAGAGCAGCGAAGCGGAGCACCCAGGCAACGATTTGCACCGCAAAGTCATGCTCGCCGATCCAAATCGAACCGGTGGGGTCACCGTATGGGGGCTGGAAACCCATGGGATAGAAGTTGGAATCATTCCATTTCTCATTCAACCACCAGTTGGAAATCTATGGGGGGTGATCTTCCGAGTCTCATTCCCTGCACATCGGTCGGACAAAAAATCGAGGCGGTGATACACGGGCTGAGGTGGAACCTAGGGATTCCCTTACGGGAAGCCATAGATGGGTACAGGTCATGTCTCATTCCTTGCCTATCCGATCCAAATCCAAGCCGTGTTCACCCAGTTCACTGGGCGCTGAGGTGGACATGATCCGTTCCTGCGGCGCCTTCTCCAAGGAGGAGTGCGATGACCTCATGGCCTTCGGCTGCCTCAATGGCCTGTTCGTGCTGGGCAGATCCATTGGCTTCATCGGACACTACCTGGACCAGTTGAGGACTGGGGCCCTTAAAGTGGTTATTATATTATATAAAGAAATGAACAATTATATATAATTATAAATATATATATATATATATGGTATGTTGTATATTATGTATCATATTATATGTACATATGTGTGTGTGTGTATCTATATATATGTCTAATTATGTATATATATATATATGTACATATATATATATATATGTATATATTTATATATGGTCCCGTGTTCCGTGTTGCTACCCCCCCCCCCCCCCCATATGGTATGGGTCCCCCAGGACCCCCGGCCCGAGACCCTGAGCCCCCGGATCCTGTCACCTACGGTCCCACCCCCGCCCCGACCCCCTGAACTCGCACCCCGACACCCCGGCACCCCCACCCCCAGGACAAGCCAACCCGCAACCAACCATAAACCAACCCTAAACTAACCCTAAACAAACCCTAAATACACCCTAAACCAAACCCTAAACCGTAGACCTCTAAACCTAAACCAACCCTAAATCAACATAAACCAACCCTAAAATAACCCTAAACCAACCCTAAACTAACCCCAAATGCACCCTAAACCAATTCCTAGACAATAAACCCTAAACCTAAGCCAACCCTAAACCAACCCTAAACTAACCCAAAACCAACCCTAAATACACCCTAAACCAAACCCTAAACCGTAGACCTCTAAACCTAAACCAACCCTAAATCAACATAAACCAACCCTAAAATAACCCTAAACCAACCCTAAACTAACCCCAAATGCACCCTAAACCAATTCCTAGACAATAAACCCTAAACCTAAGCCAACCCTAAACCAACCCTAAACTAACCCAAAACCAACCCTAAATACACCCTAAACCAAACCCTAAACCGTAACCTCTAAACCTAAACCAACCCTAAATCAACATAAACCAACCCTAAGCCAACCCTAAACTAACCAGAAATACACCCTAAATGTACCCTAAACCAATTCTAAACCAACCCTAAACCACCACAACCCAACCACAGGACCACAACCACAGGGGGGGGGGGGGGTACTTGTCTGACCCATGACCATTGGTGGGGGGGGGGGGCTGGCAACGCTGTACCATATATATATATATATATATCCCACGTTTTTTTTTGTTTTTGAAAAAACAAAAACAAATGCATCTCAAGGTGTTCTGAGTTCCTTCTTGGGCGGAGTGGCTCGAGGCTCAAGCAGCCTCTCTACCGCCACCCCTGGGACGACATCACCTACATCCAGGAGCTGGCCGGCCAGGGCCCAGAGTGAACCTAGAGAGACAAAAGTCGCACGGCGTGTGCCGAAACCGTGGCGAAAGCTGCACGGTGCACATGGCACTTAGGTTTTGCATTCGTTATTTTCCATGGAAGTGGGGACGCTTGAGGTGTGCCTTGCTTTCAATCTTTCTCCCCTAGTGGCTTTTCCAGACAGATACAATTAATGTATTCAAAGGAGCACGGCAAAAGGCCCGTGGACCAGTTGACATGCGGCTGGAAGAGGACCAAGGTGGTTCAAGCCCGACGCGTTCAAAGATTGGCAGAGCGGAGCCAAGTATGTCAAGCCGCAGACAGGTGGTTTTGGCTTTTCGGTTTTTGGCGGACAAAAGTTTAACTGGGGGCTCCCCCACTCCCCCCCCTCCCCCCCTCCCCCCCTCCCCCACTCCCCCCTCACTTTTCTGGGGGGGTTCGCCGGGACCCTTCTGCACTCCGTCAGGTAGTGCTGGACAGAGAAAACCTTTGGCACTCAGAGGCACGGAAAGGCAACCACCGTCTCGATGGGAATGCGAAATCCAGAAATCGCAGCACGAAAGGAAACAATGGTTGAAACCAGAAGGTTTGTTGGTATTTACGGGGGAATCGATTTTTTCTAGGGTTTCTTAGATGCTGCGCAATGGATTTCGCAACCATCCACAGTATGTCTCGATGGGAATTTGAGTCGTCTTGAAACCTTCAAGTCCTGTCGCAACTCTTATTTTGTGCTTCGCGGATTTTTAATTTGCCTTCTCTTCCACCAAGGGGGGTGCCTAGTGCTTGCTTGCTTACCTGATTTGCCTGCCTGGTTGCTGCGACTTCCATGAAATGTAGAGATCACCCGTTCCGCTGCGATGTTTCATGGTTGCTTCCACTTAATGGGACCTGAGGCAGTGCTGTTTGAGCAATGATGGCCAAATAAGTTCAAGTGTCAAGCGTCGCGCTTCTAGTTCACCGCTTTTTAGATTCCGCTTCAGCAATAGCCCCAAAAAGTCGAGTCCCTAGCCCCCAAGAATGAGGATGAGGGAAGGCCTCGTACTATCTTTATGTGGGAAAATAGTGGTTCCGGCCACGCAGCCCGCTGTGTCCTCCCTAAAACCATGAAATTCCCGACTGAAGCCCAGGCCAAGCATTCAACCAAACAGCCCGGGAAGCAAACCAGCAAGCCGCGCTTCGTCTCAGGCGGAACTGCTGTTCAGCTAGAATGTGCCAAAAGACTGCGAACAAACAAGAACAAATATGAAGTGCAGGAGGTCTCTAGACAGATCTGCCCCGCAAGCAAGTCTTTCTGCTTCCAAGATGCGGTTTCTTTCTTCGCCGGAAGCTGAAGAGGCGCAAGACGTTGCAGCGTCGGGATCCGGGGAGTTTGCTGGGACAGAGAGAATCATCCATTTGGCCCAAAGCTTGGCAACAATATCTCTAGGATACCCCTGTCAATGCTTGCTTTCGTGTTGCTCCGCCCCCCCGGTTTCCCTTGCTAAAGGGCAACCTCCAATCCAACACACACTCTAACTTGCTTACCTACCTACTTACCTACCTCTACCTCCCTCCAGTTACTTGTGGCTTTTCGCTTTCCACACTGCTTGCTGTGGTCGGGGTCCTTTGTTTTCACCTCCCACAACCCTTGCCTGCCTACCTACCTACCTGCCTACCTACCTACCTACCTACCCCTAGTTACTTCTGGCTTTTCGTTTTACCCCAGGGACTTACTTGTGGCTTTTCGGTTTAACCCAACCTGGCGCCTAAAACGAAGGCCCCTCCGCACCTAGCGCCCGCCGAAGCGCCGAAGCAGCAGGTGGCCGGGACCTTCGGCGCGGGCATGGTGCGGCTGCCGCTGCGCAGCTTCCAGCGCCTGGAGGCCATGGAGCAGGAGGACGCGGGATGCGTCTCTTGCTTTCGTGGGGGGCCCGTTTTGGTGGCCAAAAAAGGGGGCCCAGAAAAATCCGGTGGTTGGGGAAGTTAAAAAAAAATGAATCAAACACTTTGTTGGGTGGCGAAAAAAAGGGGAGCCAAAAGAAAGGGTGAGATTTAAAAAATGAAGCCAAAAGTTGCTGGGTGGCGAAGAAAGGGGAGAGACAAGAAACGTGTTGTTGGGGTGGATTCAAAGGCCCGGGTCGTCCAAGTGGACACATTTTGGGCAGGTCTTTCTTGGTGGGCATGCGTTTTGGAGTGGCTTCAAAGGGAATCCAAAAACACTTGTTGGCAACTTGTTGGGGTGGAGTCAAAGGGAAGCCAAAAAAAAACCGCACCATGTGTTGGTGTCTCCGATTTTTTTCAGTTCAGTGAATGCAAGCATGTTGCGGTACATTCTTAGTGATCTTGGTGATAGAACGCAATCATGAACTAACACTACCAATGACATCACCAGTATCACCATTATCGCCGTCGCCCGCATCATCATGGTTTGCTTGTTCATAGCATCGCCACAATCACCCCCGCAATCACCATTCACGTGCGCCGAACGTTTGAGGCAAGTTCTGTGTTGTCCGTGCTCTTCCTGAGAGGAAATCACCTTGTGACTAGTGGGTTACACAGGTGGCTAACCACTGACTATCTTGGCCGAACATTCAAGGAGGGAGTTTGGACCATCACTTTGAGCCAGTAAACATCCTAAGAATTTCATCCCAATCCGGGTCCCGGGCAAAGTGGAATCAGATCGTGACCCCAGAATTCAGGACCAGCGGTCTCCCATAGACGGACCAAAAGCTGCAAAGATTCAATGGCTCCCCCTGATTGGGAAGCCAAGCTGCAAACAAAGGTGCCCAGTTTTTCCTTGTTTCTTGGCGACAGCATTGCTGTGTGTCATGTCCGACGGCAATCGGAGCCCAAAGGACGACAGCGCGCTGCAGATCATCACTGGCGATGGCGAGCTGATTTGGCGGGGCGGGTGGTGCATCAGTGCTGAGTCTTAGCAGACGGGGACGAGACAGGCACACAGGCACGATCAGCACATGCACACAGGCACACGCACACGCACACGCGCGCACGCATGGACATTTGCTTGAATACTCAATGTTTGCAATTCCACTTTGTGGTTTCAGAAAAGCCCCAGGATGGTTTTGTTTGTGTCCTGAATGGCTTCGCTCACTTTATCTAATACTCTCAAACTTGCATTTGCCGAGTTTGAGTGCTGTAGCTTTTCCACAACATCGAGCCAACAGAATAGCTGGCTGAGCAAGACCAAGATCACGCCAACTCTAGGAAGCGTCCTGGCTGAGAAGGGCATAGCTAGTACTTAGTAGAGAGGATGCCACCTGCCCATACCATTGGAACACATTGACAAGCTCCTTCATTAAAGTTGCTCTCAGATCTTGCAACAACTTGAGCACGGTGGAATTCCCTTTGGTGACTTCCCTTTGTAACTTCCCTTTGGTGGAACAATCACGCTACGCCCCCTGTGACTTCCCTTCTCTGTAGATGGGAATAAGTCGCTTTGCCTCCGGCGAGCGGCAGGCGCGCCAGGCGGGGATGGGGCAGCAGGGCACGCGGACTGCGAACCGGGCTTCGCTTGGAGAATGCAGATCGATGTGGGTGTCTTTTTTAGGATTTGGATCCCCAAAGCCGGTTGAACGTGTTTCCAAAGAAAGGGGCAGCTCCTAAAGCCCAGGATGTTACATCAGATGTTTTGTTCACATGCCGCTGAGAGGCAGAGGGTCGGTTTGGGGCTTGCTGGTGGGGCCTTCGCTTGCTCAAGAGCAACCTGGCAAATGCTTTGAAGTGGGGTGTAGCAGTGTAGCAAGCACATTGCACCTGTTGAGCTTCAAAGCTTTTTCGGATGAAGGTGTGTCAGATTGGCGGCCCGAAAGCTTTACCTTCTGTGCGTAGCACTTGCAGCACACATTCGGCTCACTACAGCCTTGTGAAAAGAAGCAAATGGTCGGCTGTACTATCGACCCCGAATTCTGCAAGCAAAACCATGGAATAGACATACTGCCGTATTTCTCATCATGTGCCTGCGCACGCACACTGCAGAGGCGCACTTATTGCAAATTGCCGACTTTTCATGCCCCCCGAATCGGCCCTATCCAAGATTCTTGTTCAGGGCAACCAGGGAAACCAACTCGCAGGGATACAGGGGGAACCAGGGATACGGGAGGATTCCCCCTAAATGCACCTTGACCAAGTTTGATATGGGAAATGGCGCCAAGGGAATCCCTCCGTATCCCCGCTCCCTCCGTATCCCCGCCACACGCTTACATTTCGCCCAAGCTTAGAACTGGAATCGGACATCACCCATTGGATCCTCTCATTTCTCTTGCATCACGAGCTAGCTCCCCGCTCAGGGATGCCAAGCAGCGGAACAGCTGCTTGGCCATTATGTCAATAGCAGAGAAACCGCCATTGTTTGTTTTGTTTGTTTTTTGGGGACCCCGTCCCCTAAACATATAATTTGTTGTGTTACGTGTCAAGATTCTAGTTTGCAAGCAGGATTTCAAGCAGTGCATACCTTCAGAGCACTTGTGGCTGCAATCTGTGAGTTTGCATGGCCAACTCCAGCAGGATGCAGGATGAGGCACACCTCGCATTTGTTGCTGAAGCAGCCTGTCAATTGGTAGACGTTCGTTACAAACAAACGTATCAAAAGATATACTCTCCGTGGTTTGTTGAGGGCAGCCGCCTTGGCATGGCAGTTCTAGGGGTTGATTCCCCATTCTGTTCAGCCATCGTTATTTTCAAAAACCAGCCATTTCCCCAGGGATTTTGGTGGTTTTCTAGAAACAAGGATCCCTGGAAAGAATGGGGAAGTTACTCCTAGAGCAGTCTCATTCAGCCAATTCACAATTTGCTCTATGGTTTCTTTCCACCACCTAGACATTCAGTATGCACATGCCACTTTGCCAGATTATCGCCCGACTGTCAAATGCAAGTTGTTTGCTCGCGGAGCTGCGCAGCCACATGTTGTCTTGCTTTACCACTGTCCTATTTCGAACTTTGGTGTAAGGTGCCGAGCCAAAGCGGGTGGGTTGGACGCAACTGATGTGATGCCATTCGGCAAGCTCGTATCCAAGAGTGGGAGGCAACTTGTGGCAGCCGTTTCCCTGAGCCTCTTGGAACAGCTTTGGCGCCAGTTTCCCTTGTGCACAATCGCGGCCCTTGCCATTGCCGTTGATATTTGAGACCGGTTGCATGATCAACTTTAGCAAGTTGTATGCTAGATTCAATGGTCACAGCGGGCTCGCAGAAACGCAGTTGGGATCGGGTGCAGATCTTAGGCCAACAGGCCAAAGATTCACTTCTCATTGAGTCAGCTCAGGCAGACGGGGCCAAGCCGTGTGGA